ATATATATATATATAAAATCTGTTCAATTCAGTTTATTCATAAAACACCAAATCACAACAATTGTCTCAGGGCACTGTACTAAAATAAACAAGTCTAATAAAGCCAGCGGATTGTGTTGAATCTTCACTTCCTCACAGTCTCCCATCCTGAGCAGCACATTGGTGACAGTGGAGAGGAAAACCTCCCTTTTAACAAGAAGAAACCTCCAGCAGAACCAGGCTCAGGGACAGGCGGCCATCTGCCTCGACCAACTGGGTTTGGGCTCAGGAAAGAGACACAGGCAAACACAGAAGGACAGTTCCAGGTGTATTTTCTTCTGGAAGAGAGACAAAAAAACACATTATTGATAGAAATAATYACAATAAACATGTAAAGAAGAGAGACTAAAGACAACAGCAGAGTGAGGAAATGTGGTCAGTTTGTGCTCCAGCAGTCTAAGTCTGTAGCAGCAGAAATGAAGAATAATTCAGGAAACCTAAGTCTAACTATATGATTTATMAAAAAGGAAAGTYTTCAGTCTAGCTTTAAAAGTACACAGTGTCAGCCTCACGGACAGAAACTGGAWGTTGGTTCCATAACACATTCTACTTTTAGAAACTCACAATATTCCTACCAGAACAAACTAAATATTCAGGCGTCTGTAACTAATAAATTTAATTGAACTGAATAAACCWTTATTGTCATTGTACCACAATGAAATAACAGTTCAGAACACCCTTTCACCCAAACCCCRTAAATGTTAGTTTCTGAGGCTCAGGAGTAATTACATTGTTACTGACAAATAGAGATGCTGGTTTAATTGTTTAAATGTCTGAGAAACAGCAGGTTAACGGACCACCTGCCCAGACCCCATGTGCTGCCCAGTCCAGATTTAATTCATCCTTCTGASTGACCCATCGTGACTTCATTAATGGGGTTTCTAACTCTAAACCCAAAGTGTAGTTTTTTGTTGAAAAAATAAATAAWTATAAAAGGGGCAGTTTTCAGTAACAAATTMGTGGACGTAAAAATTGTGGTATTTTAGAAGCAGTAGCTTGTTGTGTTTTTACCGTCTATGTGGAATGCTGGGATGCCACCTYCTGACGGTGTTGTGGATGAAAGGATTAACCTTACTTCACCTCAGGCCAGCTAACAGGATAGATGAGCTCCAGCACTGCAGGGATAGACATAAAAAAGGTGTTTTGCTAAAACTAGACGTCTGTAAATGATACCAGAAGTGGCTGACAAAGCCATGGTACTTTTCTGTGACAAACAATTTGATTTTCATCCATTTCTGGTTCAGTTCTGACCTTTTTCCTTCTGTGTCTCAGAACAATGTCAGGACCGAGGCCTGTGGTGCTGAGCGGCCCCTCTGGAGCCGGGAAGAGCACTCTGCTCAAGAGGCTGATGAAGGATCACGAGGGAGTCTTTGGATTCAGCGTGTCACGTATGTTTGTGCGCCACTTAGTGATTAGCTTCCATAACATCGTCCTCACCTGAGGAGGAAATAAGACACAATGTTTAATTCAGCTCAGGAAAGCAGATGTTTGTTTTACACCTTGGATGGTCTTGTCTGCTTTTTAATGATGACATCCTTTTCTCAGACACGACAAGGAACCCTCGGCCAGGAGAGCAGGACGGCAAAGGTACAGTACTGGCACAAGACTTGGCTTATTGGTGGCAAAGTGGGTGATGTTTTAGCACCTTAATGCTTTATTAGGATCACCTTGCTCTGTGACACAACATACCAGAGGCATGGAGTTGGATTTAAACCTGCATAAGTGTGATAAATTACCCTCAGTAATATAAAAAAAACTGTTAAGCACCTGGAAGGATTGGACAGAATTTTGTCCACATGCTGACCAATGATGAATGTATAAATGATTCAATTAGCAAGGAGCCGGCACCACTTGAACAGACACCAGAGAGACGACATGGTGGCTTCACAAGTGGAGCAATAGTGTTATCAGGCAGTTGCCAGAACATCCGATAGTCAGTCAAAACACTGAGTGAAGATTAGCAGACACAGAGGATGCTCAGTAGACATATTAGACAGCACTACCAGACCAACCGTGGTTGCTTTGTGAACTTGCATGAGGTTGGGTGGTAGTTTGTTGCAACTACCTGTCTTGTTGGATCTACAGGTGTCATAGTGTGTCTCATAGTGGTCTGATGTCCAAACCAACGAGAACGTAAGGGCACCTACAAGTCCTAAATGTTCTGGCTACACAAGACGGCCACATGTCATGTTTCAAGCATTACAATACCATGTGACAGTGGTGTCCAAAGTCTGTCCTCAAGGGCTGGTGTCCTGCATGTTTTAGGAGCTTCCCTGGTTCAACACAGCTGAACCTAAGTAGTAGCTTTATTGGTAGGCCTGCTCAGTATGCCATCAAGGTCTGCGGAGGCCTACTAATCAAGCACAACTTAGGTTTGGCTGTGTTGAACCAGGGCAGCTCCTAAAACATGCAGGACACCAGCCCCTGAGCCCTTGCAGGACACCACTGCCATGTGACATCTGTACCTACATCCAGACCAAGGTATTGAACTCTGGGTCATTGATGACTAGTATTTAGCCTGGCCATTGCCTTCCTATGTAAAACTGCTTGATTATAATCTTCCTCTGCTCCGTCTGGGCTTTCTCCCATTGACATGGATTTCTCTGGTAGAATTTTAACCTGGCCAATCAGCAACCTAAAGGAGGAGTTGTGAACAATGACGTTGATTTTCCTTGCTGTTTTAGAATTGTAGTCTGCCTGTAGTTTAGCAACGGCAGTGGTGGAAGTAAATGAAGCCATTCAGTCCACGATGACAAGGCTTCCAAATAAAATTTGTCTCGTAACGCCTGCAGCTCTCATTTACAGCCATCTCCTTTGGCTGGGTACTTCTCTCTTCCCAGTAGGGGGTGGTTGTTTTCAGCACAGGCAATTTCCAATTAGCTTCTTGGCGTAGCTTCCTTCACAGTCACGTTGACGCACTGCAGATGTCATGATCAAAGTTAACAATTGGGTGAAATCAGATCCAATCATTTACAACTTCAACAGAGTCCACGCCTCTGGCAAGCAATCGTTTCTTAACAGCTGAGAGTCCAGACCCTCTATACGAAGCAAAGTGTAGAACAAGGGGCTGGTTTGTACCAGGCCAACCAATATTAAGACTACCAGTTTCCTTGTGTGCAGGCTCCCGTATACACAAGAGCAGGAATGGCTGCATTTAGAGTTTTGCTATAACTGGGAGAAACTGGTTTTTGATAAGTCAGAGATTACTCGAGTCTGCTTTACCTTGGATGACCATCGCATGAACATATGGTGGTGTTGAGGAGAAAAGGCTAATCCTGCTAAAGTTATAGAGTTACACACCAGCATTACTTCTGGCATCATGTTGAGGGGAACAGTAAAGACAGACATTAAGGGCACCATGATTGCACAATTGTTAGTGCACTGTATCTGCTTCAGTGGTTCCCTGGTACAGTCTTACTTCAAGATGGCACCTGTCCACATGTTGAAGTCCTCCTGTGGCCAGCCTGATCTTCTCCAAAAAACATGCTTGGGATCAGCTCAGACCTTAACTCCAACTTAGAGTGAATCTTTGGAATCTTGAGAGCCAGGCGWATTGGTTGTAGGACAGGATGCAATGACTATGACTTCATTCTGCAATTGCCACTTGTATCCAGGCTTGAAAGACTGACATGAAACCAGCAGTGTGTCCACACAGCCTACTATGTTATCCAGGATCTGTGGTTAGCTCTGTTGCCTCACATCAAGAAGGTCCTGGGTTTGACCCCTGGTTTTGACCCAGGGCCTATAAATGTGGAGTTTGCACATTTTTGTACTTGTGTGGGTTTTCTCCAGGTACTCCGGTTTCCCCCACACAGACCAAAACTCGCATGTTAGTCTGTCTCCAGGCCAAGGTCTTCAAGCAAAAGAGATGTGATCTATTTGCCTAGTTCCTTCTTACTTCTCCATCTAGGTGCCTAAAGTTTTTTTTGTCAATGAGTGTTTCACTCATTGACACAAACAGTAACTGCCCAGTCCACAAAGAAAGTCACTCTTCTTACTCCTGAGTGAACTACTCAAATGGTTTTGTCATTTTGTTTTATTCCCGTCTTTTAAAAAAGGGATATATCTCTTTCTGTGCCTTTTTTGCTCTCTCTTCGTAGGACTGAACAAACTCCCTATGCTTCTGGGGGCTACTTTACTGCCTGTAGCAGACGTTCTTTCCTCTGAAGACTTAAAAAAGTCAACCCCATTGTCATGTCCAAATGAATCAGAAACCACAGACAAAGGTGATTCTTGATCACAGCTGTTAGCAGAGGAGTGGGGGTTACTTTCATTGTCCGGGGCATTATCATTGGATTAACAGACCAAAACATTAATAAATTGAAAAATGCACACTAAATTTAGAAATTGGAATTAGACAGTCCACACTTTGGAGTAAAAAGCTTTTGAAAATATCCCCCTGAGATGCCTCTTTAGTGATTCCTTTTTCCAGTAACCCATGTTTGTTTCAGCTCCTATTTGTGTGGTCATTTGAAACCCTTCTGTTACTTCCCTTCCCTTTTCTTTTTTTTTTTACTGAACTAAACAAATTTTAACTTGTGTATTAACCCTACATAAAGAATTTTGCCCTGTTTGGGCTATTTTAAAACACACCCTGCCCATTTTTTAAAAATATTTTTGATCTTTTCACTCAGTTCGTAGTTTCCTCTCAAATTGTTATTTTAGTCTGAACCAGATTCCTTCATGTTGTCATGCTACTGATTGTCCATTAGTGATTTAGGTAGTAATGTCTTTGCTTCTAAAAATTTAGTTTGGGTATGACCATAATAATGCTTTCAGTAAATTTTGAATGGCATCTATTAAAACTAAATCATACAGGAAAAATAATTTTTATCTGCAAATAAGTTATAAGCTGTCAATATCTTACCTGCAGTAGATAAAGATTAGAGTGTTGACAATTTGAAAAGTTGTCATGGAAGAGTAAAGCTAAATCCTAACAGTCTGGGACCATGTAGATTTAAGCAGTCCTCTACTGTAAAAATTTACACATCTTTATTTTACATTAAAGACTTTTGGAACATGGTTAAGAGTACTCAGTTAAACTATTTAAGATAGAATTTGTCACTTTCATATAAAATTTTTAAGATTTGAATTGTTTTTGATGTCTAAAATCCAGAATAGGCTCCAAATACAGCGGGTAAAATAAGTATTGAACACGTCACCATTTTTCTCAATAAATATATTACTAGAGGTGCTAATGACATGAAATTTTCACCAGATGTCGGTAATAACCAAGTGATCCATACATACAAAGAAATCAAACCATAAATGTCCAGAAATGAAGTTATTTGTAATAATGTGGAAWGGCACAGGGAAAAAGTATTGAACACATGAAGAAAGGGAGGTGTAAAAAGGCATGGAAAGCCAAGACACCAGCTGAACTCTCTCAGTAATTAGAAAACAAGCCTGCCCCTTGTCAGTGCAAGTTAATATCAGCTGGTTCAGTCCCAAATGATGGCCAGGTATCACACAAGAACCATCTGATGATGGGTAAAAGTAAAGAGCTCTCTCAAGACCTTCACAACCTTATTGTTGCAAAGCATAATGATGGCATCGGTTACAGAAGAATGTCTAAACTTCTGAAGGTTCCAGTGAGCACTGTTGGGGTCATAATTCAGAAGTGGAAAGAACATTATTTCACCATAAACCGACCACGACCAGGTGCTCCTCACAAGATTTCTGACAGAGGAGTGAAAAGAATTATCAGAAGAGTTGTCCAAGAGCCAAGGACCACTTGTGGAGAGCTTCAGAAAGACCTGGAATTAGCAGGTACGATTGTTTCAAAGAAAACAATAAGTAATGCACTGAACCACCATGGCCTGTATGCACGCTCATCACGCAAGACTCCACTGCTGAAGAAACAGCATGTTGAAGCTCCTTTAAAGTTTGCTGCACAACATTTAAACAAGCCTGTGTAATACTGGGAGAATATAGTCTGGTCAGATGAGACCAACATYGAACTGTTTGGATGCCAGAATACACATCATGTTTGGAGGTCAAATGGCACTGCACATCAGCCCAAWAACACCATACCAACAGTGAAGTTTGGAGGTGGGAACATCATGGTGTGGGGCTGTTTTTCAGCATATGGTACTGGCAAACTTCAAATAATTGAAGGAAGGATGAGTGGAAAAATGTACAGAGACATTCTTGATAAAAATCTGCTTCCATCTACCAGGATGATGAAGATGAAACGTGGCTGGACATTTCAGCAAGACAATGAGCCCAAACACAAAGCCAAGGAAACTCTCAGTTGGTTTCAGAGAAAGAAACTAAAGCTGCTGGAATGGCCCAGCCAATCACCTGACCTGAATCCAACAGAAAATCTATGGAAAGAACTAAAGATCAGAGTTCATAGAAGAGGTCCACGAAACCTTCAAGATTTGAAGACTGTTTGTGTGGAAGAATGGGCCAAAATCACACCTGAGCAATGCATGCCACTAGTTTCTCCATACAGGAGGCGTCTTGAAGCTGTCATTGACAACAAAGGCTTTWGTACAAAGTATTARATAAATTTCAGWAAGYRTGTTCAATACYTTTYCCCTGTGCCATTCCACATTATTACAAATAACTTCATTTCTGGACATTTATGGTTTGATTTCTTTGTATGTATGGATCACTTGGGTTGTTACCGACATCTGGTGAAAATTTCGTGTCATTAGCACCTCTAGTAATATATTTACTGAGAAAAATGTTGATGTGTTCAATACTTATTTTACCCGCTGTAGATGAGCAATTACTTTCACTCATACCTTCAAATTGAGATTGTCTGAATGTCTACTGCAGGTAAAATACTGACTGCTCATAGCTCCAGATATCCTAGTTAAAAAKAATCAGATTTTGTTTAAGTTTTTTTCTTGTAGAGCTAAAATCATTTTGCATCTTTCAGACTACCACTTCACAACAAGAGAGGTCATGCAGGAGAGCATCGATGAAGGAGAATTCATTGAGAATGCTGAGTTTTCTGGCAACTTGTATGGAACAAGGTAAAAAACAAAACTATAAAATCCAATTAATGATAACAATCAGCTACTGTAGGCATATTTCAATTGATCAGCTGTTTTAAAATAAAAATAATAAAATGATGGCGCTCTTGAAAGTAATATAAAAGATTACAGGACCAAAGCCTTATAGGACATGCCCTTCAGTTTTCTAACAAGGATTACAGGAATGTATGTATGTATGTTGACCTGGTGACAGATGGAGCTTTAACCTGTAAGTCAAAAAGAGCAACACAACAGCTTAGCATCTCTGGAGTCACGTTTAATCTCTCCTCCTTACTCCGAAGATAACGCTCTCTGAATTCAAGCAGCTCRAATCAATGCAGATCCGTTTTTCAGCTGCTTCATTTAAAATATGATGATAATAAATAAAAAATATTCACCTTTTCTTCTCTTTCTTTTGCTTCTTTTAAAAAAAGTCACYGATGATGAAGAAACTAAATTCAGTTCTGCTTTCTACTGAAGTGGCTTTAAAAAATAAAAAAAAGATAAAATTACACAAAGTAATATTGAATTATATTTAACATTTCTTTATTACCTCCTGTACCCCCTTTTTTTAAAATGTTAGCAAGGCTGCTGTGGAAGACGTACGTGCCAAGAACCTGATCTGCATCCTTGATGTGGACATTCAGGGGGTGAGGCGGATTAAAAAGACAGACCTGAACCCTATCTACATCTCCATCCAGCCTCCATCCATGGAGATCCTGGTAAATATGTCACATTTAATACTATTAGTTTCATCTTTTCCTGCTCAGGATTTGATTAACAGAAGAGAAATCTCACATTCTGTTGYCTTTATCAGGAAAAACGTCTGAGAGACAGGCAGACAGAAACAGAGGAGAGTTTACAGAAACGTCTGGAGGCTGCACGCATCGATATGGAGCTCAGTATGTTTCTCTACAGTTTAGATTAAAGTAGAACCAAGATTTAAAAAAACAAATAAGATGATTTTCTTTTCTTTTTTTGTTTGTTTGTTTGCTAGGTAAAGAGCCTGGAGTGTTTGACATTGTTATCATCAATGATGATTTGGAGAAAGCCTACGAGGAGCTGAAAGCAATCCTCAATGAAGTATGTAATTATTATTGTTTTTTTTTTAAAAAAAGGTGTCGTTTTTAAGTATATTTTACAAATTTAAATCTTTTTTCTTCTTCACAGGAAATTCAAAAGGTTCAAGACACCAAGTAATAAGATAAAACTACTTTTTTTGCTACGTGTGACTCTGGTTGAATAAAACTGGATATTGACAAGAATCCATCTGAAATAAAATCACATACAAAAACAAGATTGTTGTCTTTTGTTTTCTCCCTATAGTTCTCTTTTGAAGTCAAGTAGTTTTGAACAGATTTAGAAAGGATAATGAGAAAGTCTGGGGTCAATWATGTTTTAAGTAAAAAGGCAGGCAATTTTCATCAATTTAATCAAATTTAGCCATAAATAAATAAATTTAATATGTTTAATCTGTTGGGACAGGATGTCACATGAGGAAAAATCAAACACCATGATTCAATACTTTTTAGTACTCTCAGTACTGCCACTTTGCTCACAATGTTAAATAAAAACAACGTAATTTCTAAACCCTGTATCACATAAACTACAATGAATCTTTTGCAGTAAGAGTTGTTTAAGATTACAACAGTCCTTTGTTTTAAGTCCTGTTTAAACACTAGTTCATTAGTCCAGCTAGAATTGAACTATTTCCCCAAAAATGTGCAGTTGGATTGTTTTTAGGCACAATGCAGACAGAGGTGAGGAGTTAAACAAAACTAAAATTTATTTGCCGACTATAGACAACATAAAGCTGTCATGGCAGCAACCTATAAAACAGAAACTAAAACCTACAGACTAAGAAMAGAGAATCAGAACAGCCTTACTTCAAACAGGCAAACAGCAGTACATAAAGGATCAGACTAATTGGCTGAAATGAAAACACCTGCACACAGAAGCAGAACGGGAACAGGGTGGGGCAGAAACAAGAACAAAACTAACAGACTAAACAGAAAAAACTAAAAACAGAACCAAATACAAAAATAACAAAAGGCACAGATCCTAACAAATGCAGTAAAAAGTAACAAAAAGGCACAGATTCTGCCATAATGTCATGCAAGGACCAATCTACAAGTTAGATGTTATTTTGTTCATTACTCTTTAGCCCGAGTCAGTTTAGAAATTAAATATACTGTCACTCAGAACAACTGAAGCATCAAGGAAAATCTTCAAATTTGCAAACAAATGGGTGATTTCGTAAAGAGTTGATACATTTCTGTATTTTTTATACTTTCCAGAATATTAAAGAAAACATTTTAGCTTTAAACCCAAACTTGTGCAGCAGAGATGGCAACATCTAAATTTCACAACCCATGCATTTCWGTGCAATTCACCAGCTCTAGCCATGAAAAAAAATAAAAACATCCTTTTATAGAAGTACACACAGAATCTTATTAAGACACATTGCATGTTTTGAATCAGGAAACATAAAGACTTCATGAAGCAGTTCTGGCTCTAGCGCACCAGAAAAAGGYAAACTAAATATTGTAAGGCTGTAAATTTACTTTCAAAAAGTTTATTTTTTTGGCATCGTAGCTTCACTGAAAGAACGGACCCTGAATCTTTGTGCGCACTTGATCTCGTTTTTCCTCTTTCTGCTGGAGGTAAACTTTGAGCTTATCTGTGGAGAAACACACTTTGGAGTATCTGGATTTGAGTGGGCCACGATGAGCGCGCACCCATGGGTTCTGGAGACACTCGGCCGCTGTGGGTCTCCCCCTACAAAAGTTCACAATAAAATAAATTTTTGTCTTAAAATATATAAATCATGCCTGATTAGTTTCACATAGAGACACTGACCAGGATTTGTTGTTCAGGCTGCTCTTCATGAAGTTTAATGCTCCCTCTGACAGACCRGGGTAACACCGTCCAAACTGGATCTTCCCTTTTTTTATATTTTTGTCTTGCTCCCAGCTGAGGTCTGAATGAAATGGACTGTCAGCGCTCAACCTAGTGATGTCAAAGATAAAAATAAATAAATAAAAAATAAAATAAGCTAATTAGTGCAGCTCTTAAACAATCTTGAGTAAAACTTTCATACAATAAAATTTTCCTCTGAAGTGGGAGTTGGTTCATATGCAGTACTACATTTTTTAGAGCGCCAGGTCATTTCTCTCATCCTTTAGTCATGAAAGTGTAGCCAGTCTAGCTCAGCAGACTAGTAAGATCAAGCCCCACACTGGGCGCCAATTGTTGAGGCAAAAGACTTCTTAAAGATGCCACTTGTTCAACAAGAAAAATGAGTCAAAAGGTTGACAACCAGCAAGCAGCATAAGGGTTTATTAAGGTGAACTCACAGTTCAGAGACAGAAGAGACAAACCCCATCTTTTCAGGGTCTTTCAGTTTTTATACTCTTTTAGCACATCGTGTGTTTGCCAGAATACATGCATATTTTCTCATGCAATCGACCCGTGCACAGTCATTAGAAAACATTTCTCCCAGGTCGCTCCAGCTTTTTGGCAAACCCTCTATGTTCATTCCCAACAATCCCACAAGACTGTTTCCCCCCAAAATCTACATGCAGACATGTTCTTTTTGATAATCACATATTTCTAGGCAACAACACACCTGTTATGGTCAACTTTTGGGAGTACTATCTGGGAGCGCTCCATCTAATTTTCTAGACCAAATATGGACTTGTTTTTGACGTTGGCCAGGTGGCTACACTTTCCTGACTAAAGTGTAGAAAAAAATTGTGTTGTTCAAAATGGCATGTCTTAATAAATGCAGGAATCCACTGGATTTCTTCTCAAAACTTTATTCTCAATCTTCTGACTCCAATCAGGTTCATAGTACAACACTCAGCACAGGCCTCAGCGTAAGACCTTGAGCTAAAAACACAACCAAAACATCCCAGCAGGCTGAATCTGAGCAGAGACTCCAAAACTAACAACTTCTTTTTCCTATAATAATGAACGGACCTTATGATGTATTTCTCTTCTTGGTTACACCCCTGGAGGTGTTACCTTTTACATCAAACATAGAACGTACTCACTTTTGTTTAGGCTAAAACAAAGAACACATGATAAAACACACACCAACTCTTTGTCTGTTTCAACCTTGATCAGAAAGTATAAAATACAATACTGCATATAATATTCAATTAATCAGTTACAAAATTTCCTTCAAAAGGATAAGGGGAATGACCTGGCGTTCTAACAAGAGCAATTATTTTGTACTGCGCATGAACCAACTTCACTACTTCTTTTCTTTATACGTACATGATGAAAGACAGAACTCCAATAGCCCAAATGTCAGTCTCAGGCCCGACTCCCTGACCCTCCAGGATCTCCGGAGCTTTAGGAAGGACAATATAAACTGACAAAACAAACAAAACCAGTGTGTCATCCACAAAATGCTTGTGTTTATTATTATTTATTGTCTTCATCACTAACTTTCTTGAATCTTTCTTTTAAAAACATGGGTAAAATTCAAAATGGGTGAAAATAAATGATAAGAAAAATGGACTTGGGTTTGCTAGGTTATGATAGGATCATCGTAGATGAGGATGAAGTTAGGCTCAGTTATTTCCATCCATCAATCAGTTCATCCATCCTTAAAGAAACTGTACCTTTCCTGCAACAGTCTGTTGGAAGGCCATAACAGTCAAAGGTTAAATATATTAAAATCACCTACAGTCTATCATTTGCCAAGCAACGCTCCACGTTCTTGCACAACGTAGAGAAAATAATGCTACCTTTGCTGTCCGAGAGGCCGTGGATGTGCTCGATGTTGAGAGGCTGTCCGGGTACGAAGGATTGAGCTGAGCCAAAGTCGACAATCTTCAGGCGGTTGCAGTCATCCACCAGCATGTTGTCCGACTTCAGGTCCAGGTGGATAATCCGACGGCTGTGAAGATAGTCCACGGCRCTCACAATCTGCAGCAGCAGCTCTGTGACGTGAATCTCTGAATACAGATCTCTGAAGGCAAACACAGACAGGTTTTTTCAACTCAACAGCAGCTCTGCAACATGATGTGATTTAAAGCGGGGGTATAATGTATTTTCCAGCCACATAGTTAAATTCTGTACCACAATCAAGTAACTATGTTACCTTCAGTTGTCAAGAAAATGCTGTATGTATATATATAT